CGTTTCTGTTAATCTGGCAAGCAGGGAGCTGTATCTTGCCAGATCTTCCTGCCTTTGTGTATCTTTTGTGATGAAGTGAGAAGGTTTTTATTTTCATTAAAAAGAAAAGACTTCAGGGAAAATATTGCCTATTATTCAAAATTCAGATTAGCAGTAAAAAAAACAACCCTAAACCTTACTGGCATGTGGTTGGAACTGATGATCCTTAAGGTATTTTCCAATCTAAATGATTCTATAATATTTTACTAAATTATGTTTGTTGTTGCTCTGTCTCTCGTGATGTCCAACATTGACAACAGTTGCTTTTCATAACAAAAACAACCCAAGGGTTAAAAGCAAATCAGACAAGCCCTGTTGCTGCATTTCATTATCCTTGGGAAAAGACTGCAAAGCTTTCTGATTAAAAACCCTTTTTAACTAGTTCTACAGTAAGTCTTAATACTGTGCTTCCAGTTACTGCTTTTTCTTTCCATTGGGTTTTGCTTTTTTTTTGTAATTCCCTAGACCAGTAAGCAACTCTCTTTTTCCACTCTGAAACCAACCTCCGAACAGAAAAAAAAAAATTTGGTCAAGGCAACTAAACCCTCCAGATCAGCCTAATTATATTCATTTATTCCTGCTTAGCACAGAGGTGATCCTTCAAATCATTTGTCTCCCAGCCACAGCTATAAATGCCAGTGTAATACTGCAGTAAATGTGGGTGTCAGCACTGCTCTGAGCCTGAGGCCAAACCCAAGCCTGCTGCTGTCACAATGTAGGTGATCATTTACAAATTAAGAATTTCCCACTGGTCCCCCCAGCACCTGAAATTTGGAGGGTCACTTTTTCTCCTCCCAACTCTAAAAACACGGAAACCATACAATGAAAAGCGATCACTGTATAGAGAAACTCCAACAGAAAAATCTCAATTTCTCCCTTTGGTAACTCATTGCAGCAGCTCCCCATCACACACCTAGAAATCTTCACTGCTGTTGTTAATTCTCCCTTGCCACAAGCTGCCTGCTCAAGACCCGGTTAGAGCTTAAGAGATAAGGAAAAAATATTCCAAGTCGTGTTTTAAAGGCCTTTAACGTTTTAGTTCTTTTCCAAATTCCAAATGAAGAGCTGGAGAATTCTGCATAAAACATCTCACTGAAAAATGGAATATTAATTTCTAACATTTCCTTGCAGGAAATTGCTCATCTTTGCATGGTTGGGGCACTGCTGGCCAGCAATGAGTTTACGACCCCCTAAAAGACCTGCTCCAGTTTCTTCTGCACCAGAGCCTTCACAATCAGAGATTATTTTATATTCACATCATTTTTTTTCTTCCCTTCTGAATTGTGATAAATAATTTGTGGCATAACACGTGAAAAAAAAAACCAAACCTGAAATATTGTACTCTAGAGTTGCATCATCCCAATAACCAACCCACTGATGAAAACACCCAACTCCTGCGGCATCCCACAGAACCTCACAGTTGATCAAATTTAGACTCAGCTTTCCCATGTGCTTAAGATAATAAAGCTCCCAAATAATTTCAGTATCAAGAGGCTTATAGACTTGAGAATCTCTTCCATATCTGTCACCTCTGGCATCCACGAGGTCACTCACCCTGCCAATGGGATGAGAGGGCTTTGCTGGTTCATTTTGCGTAAGCAAACATCTGGATCTTCCCAATTCCTTCTCTCCCAGCTCCTTAAACACTAAGAACTCCCAAAGCACAGTCAGATTTCATGTCCTTTGACTGCACACTCACTTGCTCTCATTAAGAATATTTTCACTTTTTAATTTCTGTGTATTTTGCTCATAAACCTCCTTTGGATTCTCTATTATTACAAGCTGAAAGGCAAACAGTGCTGATCCAGAGGCCATGACCTCTGGGTTCTTGGGTACTCCAAGTCTTACAATCTTGACTGCATAATAATAATAATACAGTCAAACACTATTTTAAATTACTGGTGTGGTTTTTGTTTTTAATTATATGTAGCATGAAATTAGGAACATTTTAGTACATCACAAGCAGTTCAAAGACACCTTCTGGTCACTGCATTCCATTAACAAATATTTAACTCTCCACTTTAAAACACCCATTTTGAAAGAAACTTGACTAGTTATTCCTTAACATTAAACATGCCTTAAAGCTTCTTGCAGCATCAGTCAACTTTTGAGGCTGCTCTTACATTTTTTTCACTCATTTACCTAAATTCCAAAGTATTTAATCAATGAATGAAAACAGTTTTATGCACACCAAGTATCTTCCAAAAGCAAGCCTCTGAACTGGTGATGATGCTTCCTGTGACTTCAGAGGACACCAGCAGCAGGAGCTGCTAAATTGTCCTCAACAGCATCACCACAAAAAGGAGATGGATAATTTCTATTCGAACCCCAGAGAGCCATTAGATAGCGGGAAAACAACTTCCTGAGCTGCTGTTCTGCCGAGACACCGGAGCTCACGCCCTGCCAAGCATTAAGGAAATGTAACATTTTTTGATTGTGTGAATTCCTATTTCACTGGAGCAGGATATTGTTCCCCAGACACCACCATTTCACCGCTAGTCAAGGATGACCACTTTATTCACAAGTATTATTTTCCTTCTGGCACAAACACGGCCCTTTCAGCCTCACATTTCAGTGAGTCTGAGGAAAGCCAAAAGAGGGTCATTCTCAGCTTTCCCCTCTTACACTCACCTTTATTAAAGCATGCAGTTTTCAGGTAATAAAAATAATTTATTTACTGGAACTGCCAGTGGAGCTTCCACTTCCTGCAGGGGATTGCTGCAGCCCAAAAATGTTACCAAGAGTTCTGAAAACAACTCCACGATAGAAATCTCTCAGCACACGATTTATTTTTTAAGTAATTCAATTCTCTCTTTTAGAAGAGCATTATTTTAAAGATATACTTTGATCTCACCCTTTAACTGACAATTATTCTAATGATGTATTTGTAAGGATTGCCTCATTTATATTAAAAGTACGGAGCACAATAATGTAACAATATCCTAATACACAATAAATATTATTATTATATAATTATTACTCTGGAAAATTAAATTTTATTAATGACAATATTACTCTCACAATTAATGGAAAGGTTACATCATGCAAAGCCACTGGAGAATTTGAGTACACAAGTCAATTGTGCACCTGCACGGAGTGATTTAGAAAAGGATGTTTTAATATTTAAACCTGCTAAATATTATGATAAGCTTTATGGCACACTACATTTCAGAACAAAGCTTGCATTAATTGGTGTAGGAATAAGTTTCTGAATTTTAAAAGGGTTGACGTTATAGTCAAACATTTCAGTAAATTAAAGTATAACATTCTCCAATCCTCTTTGTGTAATAGGACCTACTAACGTAGCACGATTTTAATAAAACATATTTATTTTCTGATTGCTTTTAATCTTCAAAGTGTTTTTGAGCTATTGCTTCTGTGTAAATATTAAAAATGATCATTTGGTAACCCAAATACCAAACTAAGGCATTAGAGCGATTTATTTAATCACCGAGGCCAAAAAAAACCCAAATCACAAAATGCACCAGCGATGTTAAAGACCATTAACAACCTGTCACGGAACAGATTCTATTAAATGGTCTCTCACACACATGTGTGTTCTCATTTCTGAACTTTAGGCAAGCAGAGCAGATGATGGGGAGAAGGTGGGTGTTGCCACCTGCACTTTCCTTTCCGTAGCTCAAGGCACTTCAAATCCACAGCTTCCAAATTCCAAAGACTGCTTTAACTGCTACACTGTGCAGACACAGACAACAGCCACACTCCAAAGCTTAAAGAACTCAAGAACTTCCAGCAAAGCAAGGGTGTCAAGAATAATTTTGGTTTCTTGCTGTTGCCTTTAGGATTGTTTTAACAGGAGAATCTCTACCAGCTGAACAGGAGAACCTGAGCAAGGTAACTACGCTCTCAGCTTAAGCACTTTTCTCATGCACCCAAATTGAATCATGTAAAATATTTTAAAATTCAACTTCTAAAAATTCTTCTCAGTTCTTCAACGTGTCCCTGTGTTTGAATTTAAAAAAACGACAGAACTTTTTAATATCTGAAATTTTCCCAAACCCCTTGTGGCTTTTGCCCATATTTTGTTGGCTGCCCTCATGGCTGGAATATTGAAACAATTCATGGGAAGCTCATTAAAACCTAGCAGGAAAAGTCTTCTGGTGCATCTCATCAGAGCAGATAATAGCCTACAATCTAGAGCATGAATATGTTATAAGAAACAAAACGGAGCCTTTCAGACAAAGAACACTCGGAATGTGTTGTTCCCATAAGCAGCTGTTAAATTACTTCACTGTAAAGTGGAATTTATAAAACCCAAAGAAATTGTTATTTTTTTTCTGTGAACAAACAAGCTTGAGTTCATTATTTCAGCAAGGGTGACCCCGAGGTCCTGCACATGTGTCTGCCCATGCAGGCAGAGCAGTCGAAAGGAAGGACTGGTTGTCGACCAAAAATGAGACGTGTACAGAGAAGTACTGACAGAGCAGGATGGAATGGGTGTATCCAGACTGCCAGACTAGCTCAAACACGGCAATAATTCTTACAAAAACTTATCTCAGATAAGCCAGCTGGCTGGAGATTAAACTATCATTTAATTGGAGCTATAGATCCTTGTGTGCAGAGACAAGGACCAGAGACAGCTCAGAAGATACACCCTGAGATAAGATGGATACAAAGAAAGCTCAGAAAATGCCTCAGAGCCTTTCCTGGGAATCGTTAACATCAAATACATCCAACAGAAAGCAAACAAAATCAAATGCTGACTTCATGCCTGGGTAAACGCCTCAGGCTTGTCACCTTCCGAGGAAACCATTCCTGGTCACACTTTCATTCTTACTTTTCTTATCAAAAATAGATCTCCACACATATTTGCCTCAGAACTGTAAAAAACCCACTCAATTATGTGCCATAAAGGACCTATTGATGCTGTTTGTCATTCAGTCTCGTGGGTATAACAATATAAAACTGTGTAAAAAGATGTATTAAATGTGGGTACTCACATCAGTGTCAGGCCCCTTGTCAGCCCCAGGACAAGAGAAGGTAACGAACTCATGGCATCTCTTATGAACCACAAAACAGCAAACTGGTTAAAAAAAAAAAAGAAGAGGGAAACCAACAGTTAGAATGGCACAGGTTTGGTAGTGTTGTTGTTTTTTTTTTTATCTTTCGTAACAAATATAATTGCTGAGGAAATAAAAACTTCTAGTCAAATATTTCACCTGTAAGTCAAGGAAAGAAAGCAGAGCCTCGTGTTAAATAAGATACAAGACACCAAGTAAACACTATAATTAAAGAGGAGATACGCATGCACATTTAAAAAAACAAAAGACTCCATACAATGATCCATTTTTCATGTTTAAAGCAGCCCACAGTGTTTGAATATAGTGTGGGATGACAATTCTGTGAAGCCACATTTCCTGAATGTAAATCCCTGTCACAGGGACTGTCAGTGTGCACTCAGCAAGAGCAGGAGGCAGAAGTGAGGAATGTCAAGCTGGAATGAAACCCATCCTTGGATTTTGTGGGACTTGTTCACCTGAATGCCTCGGTGCAGGTCTCTACAAAGATCCAAAGCCTTTACTTTTTAATTACCTCTGTGAGGAACCAAAGCTCGGAGTGAAGGCTGTTGCAGAGAACAGAGCGTTCTCATATCACGGGACGGCAGGAGATAATGGGAGAAGAAAATGAGCTCCTGATGGCAATATGAATGCAAATGTAAAATTTATGAATGACCCCAAAGAAGTTTTTCTTTCTGAGATACGAAAAGCTTATTGTAATTCAGTGGTGTCATGGGACCGAGGCTATAGGTTGTCCCGTACAGGTAACTCCAAACCACATAAAAGGCACAATTTGCTTGAGTGTGCTTACTTTAAGAAGTCATTATTTCAGCTTTTCACCCTCACTATGGGCTCTTCCTTAATGTTAAGCTGAGTTCAGGTATTTCAAAATTGGTCCCCTTTTCAACAAAATAGAACAATTGAGATTTGAGGCTGAGAAGCTCTTGTACTAAAAACACCACGGCATGAAGCAGCGAGTCAGGGGAGCAGAATGAAGTGATGCAGAAGTAGTTCCCACTTTCTTTACAGATAATGCATTCCCTGTATACTTCAAATTTTGCATTTCCAACACATGAAAATACGCTCTTTCAAAGGACACTTCTAAAGAATAAAATAGATTTGAATTAACTGACAATTGCAACCACTGAATTTCCTCAACTTCAGGGGAAGCCGTAATAAACCATCTCAATTTTTCTGAAGAGCTCACTTCACGAGGCAACTTTAACAGTTCTCTTTCCCACTTAAAATGTCTGTGAATTGATCTCACCTAATGAAGAGCCGAGAAAGCTGCTTTCAAGTGCCCTGCCTGTCACTGCAGGGTACAACCACAGTTCCATCCTAATGCCAGGCTGGCCTCGTTCACATCCCTAAGTCGCCCGTCCAGCTTTAAAGAACTCTAATCACCCTTCTGTCTCTCTCCAGCTCTTTTTCATCAGTATCCCACGCAGCAATTGTTCCCAACTGTTCTATTTCTGACATGGCATATGTTTATTCTTTGGGCAAACGGAATAAAGTGGGCTTTGCTCCACTGATTCCAGATAAGCTCTGCTGACTTGACATGAGCCAGAGTTCTGGCTCAGTGTCTGCTGCCCACTTGGTTGTCTGGTTTGTTAATCAATCTAAAGCCCAACGAATCCTACAATTATCATTTTGATGGTTTGTTTCTACCAACTGAAAGATCACTAAGTGGCAATTACCATTAATATTACTTGCAGCTGAAACATGTTTTACTTTCAAATGGTGTTTTTGGTTCCAAACCTTCCACTCTCAAAGACAAAAGACTGATTTGTGTTTGCAGGAACAAATCACATGCAGGGAAAAAAAAAAAAAATCTTGGTATATCCTTCACAAAACAAAGGAGTTAAATAATTACTTTTGTATGCAGTGATCATACAGTTGCAAAATAAAATGTGATAATTTATGCAATACTATGAAATAGTATAGGAACTATGAAATACTATGGGAACATCCAGAAAATTTGTAGAATGGAGCCTATTGCTCAAATGAGGACCTTAAAGTGGCTACTCCAACACTGCCTTTATTCAGCAACATATATTATGGAAACTCTGCATGTTTGGGCATCTCTTTGGGGCAGGATTTATGAAACACCACAGTCACATCTTATCTCTGAGCTGGCAGCCTCTCATTGCAGGGTAAGGAACTCATTCAGCCAGAGACAATGTCGAGCTTGTTTTTATTTCCATACAAGCATCAAGATAAAGACAGGAAGAACAGGGCCACTGTTTTCTACAGCCTCATTCCATGGCTCTGCACTTTAGCTGTTAACTTCCTTGGAAATTATGCTCATCCCACTGCAGTGAAACTACAATTCAGCTGCCAAAATAAGGAAACCAGAGAGATTTGTCCTTTAGGATTTCGGGCTGCACCCCAAAACCAGTCACTTGCTAAGGCTTTGATTATCAAATTTTTCACTACTGAGCTCTTAAAACTGAACTTCTGTTCAGCCAATAATAGAGTGATTAATGTGGGCACCTCAACCTGAACTCTTTTCCCCTTATTTCCCATTTGTTATGGCTTATTTATCTCCAAAGAGCTTGGTTCCTTAGGAAGTGATCCAAATGCATCAGCCCTCTCTCATCTTCTGAGAAGACTCAAATGAGAACCAAATAGTTTGACATAAAAATAAACAATGGAATAGGCAATGCTCATGGACTCATAAATCTAAAGGGAAAAGGAAGAGAGTGAACTGAAATCCCTTGTTAGCAGCCATCATTTCCACACATAAAATTTAACATCCAAATTTTCATGTAGAAATCCAGCCATTACAGTGTATTTTAGCAGTAGTTTTTCAAGTTTATTTCCCAAAGCAACACAGATCTGGAGAATTCATGTAAAGATTTACTTGGATCAGATAAGTGCAAACAAAATGTCACCTGCTTAAAATAACATGTCATTTTTTTTTTTTTTTTTTAGCAATAGAGACGAAAAATAAACCTCTCACTAGTTACTTGTTTTGAAAAGATGTTAAGAGCTCCCCATCACTTATTGCAGCTGTTAAGAAGTCACATTATGCTCACCACCTTCATGTAATGAAGGTTATATTGCAGTGCTTTGCAGAGGCTGCCAGGAAATGTGTTGCTTTACATTTTAACATGATGCGAGTGGAAGGGAGCTGGCACACGCCGTGCAGAGCAGCTCGAGAGCAAAGTGGCACCTCGAGGCTGACAGCCAAAATTAAAAAGAAAATTATTGAAGTATTTTCGTGCTTTGACAGCATGATTTTGATCTGTGAATGTATATACATATATACATATATATATATATATATAATATGGATGTGAGCTTTGGGCTTGCTGGAGACAAATCCTCTCCCTGCAGCCCAGGGAGGGACGGAGAGAACAAAACAGGCCTTGTGTTGCAAAAACAGACCAACTGCTGGCTGGCTGCTGGCATGTGGCATCCACCAGGCTGCTCCCTGCCCTCCACCCTGCCAAGCAGGGCTGCAGAGAGAGCACTGAATGCTAAATGGACAGCAGGAAAACAAGGAGGAATGTGGTAAGCAGCACTCAGTGCATTCTGAAAGCAAACAAGCAGAAGATGCACGACATGACTCGTAGGATTGATGGTACATAATGGAGGGCAATTCATTCTGTTCAACACTGTTCTGTCCAGGCACAAACCAGGTTGTTATTAATAATATATATGTATTGTCATCACTTAGAGTTACAAGACTGCTGTAAATCCCCAACTGTTTGCTAAATTACGTGACGTGCAAAGGTTATCGTGATATATTGTTGGGTTGGAGTCACCTGCCCAAAAAAACTGTTTCGAGCAGCTTTCATATGTGACACAGAGGGGCGAGACAGAAATGAGATATTGCAACGATAAACAGCAAAAATAGAAGCAGTCTCCTCTATTAGATGATCCATAAAGAAGAAAAGCCATTGCTGAGCCCCAGCCACTCGCACATCACTTAGCCAATGTGTCTGAAGGGCTCCCTAACCACAAGCATCCCGAGGAAAAATACCAAGACAAAAGTCATAAGCATTTAGGAATTATGAGAAATGGTCAATTGATTTTTTTTTTTTTGAAAAATCACTTGTATACTCCCACTTTTGAAAGAAAATCAACAGGTTAGATGAGACATGAACATCTCTACTACACCCAGAACTCATTGGTTCAGTAAGACAAACTAAGGTGCAAACCCAAAGGGTGCAGAGAATATATTCCTGAGAGTCAAAGTGAACAGCCAGTTACCAAATATAGAGAAATAAGTGAGGGGTTTTTTTTTTCATGTCATCCTCGACTCAATTTTGCAATCACAGAATTATTAAGGTTGGGAAAGATCGCCAAGACAATCAAGTCCAACCTTCGAACAAATTCCCGCCAAACCGTATCACGAAGTGCCGGTGGCTCAAGGCTATTCTCCCAACTCAAATGATGAATTTATAAAGTATTAAGCACTGTAAAAATTGTGTGGACTCGATGATCTCAGAGGTCTTTTCCAACCCACTTGATTCTGTGATCTGTAAAGCTGTGGCTCCGCTGTCATGCCATTATTAGCTGCCCAACCTCAACAAGTACACGTATTTTGCTACAGAATTTGTTTCCAGGTTTCAAGTATTGATTCTTCCAAAGGAAGCAGCCAGAGAGGCCTCACTGGCAGCAACGGAGAAACAACTGTGTGCACGCTCAATATTTGTTGTTAGGCTTCTGCTTTTGGGTTTTAAACAAGAATTGATTCTGAACTGGACTCAGGAGCCACCACAGGAGTGTAAGAAGCACGAAATCCTCTCTGTGTTACTCTCAGAGGGTACCAGAGGCCTTTCAGGGCCTCCACGGGAGCTCAGAGCACGGAGTAATTGTTGGGCTGCTGTTTCACATGCTTTGCATTTTCAGAGAGGCCACAGAATTTCCCCAAGGGGCCCATATCACTGCCTGGCTGGTGTTTCCTGCACACCACCGAGCAATGAATGGATGTGTCACACGGCACGTGCTGGTCCATGCGAAGATTAAATATAGCAATTACAATAAACAGACATAGGGTACTGCCTCAGAATAGACC